CCTGGAAAGTGTGAGATGAACACAAAGGAATACTGCCAAGCTGTTGAATCTCTTCATGCTTTCACCCCTGAGGAAGATGCTATTATAGATGAGTTTCTATCCATGGTCAATGAGGACATTGATGAACAAAGTGAGGGGGAGGAACTTGTTCAAGTTTCTGATGCTAAGAAGGAAGCTCAAGCTGATGTGTTCCCAGCTTATCAACCTGACATTCCATTTCTAGGAAGATTCAAGGAGCTACTAGTCAAGAAGTATGAGATTCTCTATGTTTCTCAAATGGAAATGAGAGGTTTAGATGCTGAAGAAGAGCTTAGGAAACCGAGAGCTAAGGCTGAAGCACCAGAAGTTAAGGAGCTGAACATCAAAAAGCTTGGAGATCCAGGTTGCTTCACACTCTCTTGTGGGCTTAAAGGCAAGACTTTCAAGAGCTGTCTATGTGATTTGGGTGCAAGCATCAATCTGTTGCCAGCCTCTACAGCTAAGGAGTTAGGTTACACCAAGTTCCAGCAAAGCAATGTGTCCCTAACCATTACTGATGGGACTGTGAATATGCCATTAGGAGCTCTAAAGGATGCACCTATGCAGATTGAAGGAGTGAAGATCCCTACAGACTTCAAAAAATTATCCTCTCTTGGCTTGGAGCCAAAGGAGTTTGAATTTAAATTCTTGGCTCCTCCCTGCCATCCTGCTCCACTTCTAAGCACTTTTGTTTTTGTCCCCCACTCATTTGATTCCTTATGCTCCCCATTAAGCTCTATAAAAGCCATCTAACTCCTATTCACTCTTCACACTTCATTTTCTCTCTTCTCTCACTTAGACCACGAAATCTTTTAGCTCTTTCTCTCTTTCATTTGTCTCTCTTAAGTGCTCAGAAGTCCTTAATGGTTTGCTTTCTTGAACTATTCACTTCTTGTTCTTATGCCTTGAGCTTGTTTAAAGTTTTTGAATATTTTGCATTAAGAGCTAGTTTTGTTTAGTTTAAGGTACTTATTTTGATTTTTGCATGGTGGAATTTATTAGCTAAGCAAGTAGAATGTTTAGAAATGATTACTGTTCATATACTTAATTGCTTGATTGCTTTGAATTCACTTTGCATAATCATGTTTAACTTTGTTGAAAGCCACCATGCTAGGTTCATATGCATAATGGTTTGAATATGTTAAGAACTCTAGAATATTTATGACTTTTAGCTTTTGAATTCTCTCAATTCTTTAGAGGTTTGACTTTGTTTAATTGCTAGTTAAACTCCTCTTAGATTTGAGAATTTTTTTTTAAGAGCTTTAAGTCATTGCTTTTCAACTTTAGTTCTTTTACTTATTAGATCTTGAAGCTTTGTTCTTGTACGTACCATGGGGAGAACTAAGGAAGCTGCTAGAAGCAAAGGTCAAGCACCAAAAAAGGAAGCACCATCTTCTCAACTTACCAGAAGAGACAAGGGCAAGAGTGTTGCTGATAGGCAATCATCAAAGGCTGCTAGAAAGAGACCTGTTGAGAGCACAGCTGCCAAGTCCAAAGGAAAGGGAAAGGCTGTGGAAGAAGTCTCATACAAGGAGCCAAGTGCAAGGGAACTCATGGAGCACTTCACTCAGTGTACCTTCAAGCCTACAAGGTACCCTTGCGCCCCCCCAATGAAGGTACTTGGGATATATGTAGATTGCAAAACAGTATTTGAAAACATGGGGCTTGGCGACTTCATGGAGAGACCACTTCCTTCCTACAAGCATCTCACCTATCAGTTTGTCTCCACTTTCAAGGTGGTGAGCTATGAAGAGAGTGAGCTTCCCAATGGAGATGGCTGGATATCATTTAGGCTTGGCAAGCAAAAGTTCACAGCAACCTTCTTTGAGATCTTTGAAGGCCTTGGTATGTATCCTTATGTTGATAAGAGGGACCACTTCAAGATCAGCAAGAGGCAGCACAAGATGCTATGGGAAGTGATTGGGGATGGCAAATACACTGCAGGAGTCATAAGGAACCTGCATCTGAAGCATCCAGCTGTGAGATATGCTCACAAGGCTCTTGAGAAGAGCATTCAAGGGAAGAATATTTACAATTTCCTCAAGCAATTCAGAGATCCAGCAAGATTCCTTCTCTCAAATGTGCAGCACACATCCATCATCATGAGGAGCAATATCGATTTTAGCCCAGATGAAAGTCAGCTCAACCATGGTGGCCCTGTCACAGAAGATAGAGAAGAGGATAGTGAAGAAGAAGTGCAAGAAGAAGGTGATGAAAACTGTGAAGAGGAAGTGCAAGAAGGAGCTGATGTTGGCGCTGGAAGCCAAGAGGATTCCCAAGAGGAAGAGGTAGATGAGAATGAGTTGCAGGAATATAACACCAAGAGGTTTCACTTCAAACCTCATGAGGTTCCAAGCAAAGGAAGCTCTCTGAAGCATGCACATGACCACATCAACAAACTCCAAAAGTGGTGTAAATGGCAGGATAAAACCATCAAGAAGCTGGTGAATCTGGTCAATGGAAAGTTCAAGAATGACAAGTCCACATCAAGAGGAGCTTCCCAACAAAGCTATGGTCATGAGCACACTTCCCACTATGAAGAGCAGGCGCCACAAGCAGAACCTAATGAAGAGGAGGAAGCAATTTGGATGCCCCAAGGAAGACACTCCTTCCAAGCCCAACAAACTGATCAGTGGGCACCTTGGGACCTTCAAGAGCTTCATCTTATGAGCCAAGGTTCCAACCACCATCAGCATGGGAGGCACCAGCTTACACTTCTTCTGAGGGTTATACAACATGGCGACAGTGGGACACTCAAGGCAACTCAACTCAAGTACAAGCTCACTGGCCAAATTGGGTTCCTCCACCAAAAGAGACTGTGTAATTTAAGTGTGGGGGAGAGATTTGGGGTTTGACTTGTTTGTTCTTTTCTTAGTTTTTTATTTTCTTTCATCTTGAGTCACATGCATATCATGCATTCATCTAAGGCATAGAAAAACACAAAAAAATTAAAAAACATTTTGCATGTTTTTGCGAAACAAAAAGAAAGCATATAATTGCATTTCATTTGCTTAGGATTGAGTCTAGTGTTTACATATAGGATGCATTGCATTTGCATAGGTCATAATGATGAATTCTCCTTGTAAAATGCTTAGTGTTTAGAGATGATTTTAATGTTTAAGTGGTTAGTTGTTTGAATCATCATGAGAATGTTAGAAGTTAAGGCTGAACCATGTTTGAATTGCTAAATGTGATGCTTTTATCTCATATTGAAAGCATTTGTTCTTTGAAAATCAACTCTATCAACTTAAACCTTAATCTGAATTTTTAATTATCACTAGGGAATGACCCGCGTGTACACGGAGGTATATGCTTTATTATATATTTTTAAAATTGTATTTTTTACTTTCAATTATATATATAATAAATGGTAGAACGAAAAAGGATATAAAGAAAGTTGTAATCCATCTTGTTAGAGAAGTGAATTCATGGTTTTTAATTATGGCAAAAATTCAAGAGAACACGAAAGAAAGTTCAAATTCATTCCGATTTTAAAATGAAATTGCTTTTGTTAACAACTAAGGTTTTACCTTAAATTTGTGTTTCTAATTTGAATATGCGGTTTTAGCAGAAGCTGATCGTGAGGTTGATCGATTATCTCTGAAGCTACATAATTTCTGGTAGTAAAAAATAATAAAAATTTAAGACAAAAGATCAAGAGTAAGAAATGTTGTCGGAGTTCATCATCCGTGCTGGAAACATAACGTTACGTAAAATTTGTTAAGTAACTATCAATAACCGTGATCTAAAACTTGTTAACTATTCTGTTTTGAACAAATCGAATAATATTTGACTAATCTAAATGAAAATGGATTAGTGTGTAAACAAAGTTGGAATCATGCTTTTGTCAACAACTAAGATTTTTCTTTCTAAGTTGAACGTCTAACACATGATTTTGTTTTGAAAAAATCGATGAGTGAATGACATAAGATTTCAATTAAGTTCTTGTAACCAAAGGTTTTATTAACATAAGATTTCATTTTGTAATCTAAATGTATTTTACCTGTGAAATTCTTAAATAAAATTTCATTGATGTGTTAATAAAAAACAAAAAGATGTGTTCCGAGGGAAAAAATCAAAACATGGCCTCTACAAGCGTAGGAACAACAGATGTGTTATGAAAAAAAAAAAAAAAACATCTGCTCTTCATAGCTTTAGTCAACTATCACATAGTTTGTTTTTTTTAACAAGATGTCAACCTCCATCTTCAAAATCCGGTAATTCCTTGCCATCTTCCTTTTTTATCTCAACCATGTTTAGCTTTTCATCGGACACATTTTCGTCTTATTCGTTTGTTCAACCATCCTGTATTTTAACACAATCATTGATAACCGAGTATTAGTGCAGATGTGTGGCATGAGAAAACTCAGATGAAATCTTTCTTTTGTTTAGGATTGTGAAATCGTAATCGTGATTTACTTAATAGTTGATGATTTTGAGATGACAATAAATAAAATTTTGAAGATCAGATGTATCTAAGTCTAAGTAATTGTTAGACTCACCATAAAAAAAAAGTAATTGTTAAAATGGACAAATGCAATGAACTTAAACTGACCAGAAACGTATCTAAGTTCGTTGTGGTGTTTCAGTTATTGTTTTTTAGTTACACATTTGCTTCTTGAAAGTTTTTTTTTATCTTTAGTGAAACACATTTTTGTAATTTTTTTTATTAGAGTAATTTATATTTTTTTAAAAATTAATAATCTAGTTTTGTGAGGAACGAGTTAACTTTACCTCTCCCGGGTGGCGGCTATTTACAGCATGCACGAAGCCATCTTCTTGCTGCTTGACTCTGATTTTATTCACTCACTCAGCAGAATTCTCGTGCAACAGTATGCACTCTCGGCTGCAACCAAAAGAACAAAATATATTAAGACCTCTAAATTATTCAGGAAGGAAAAAGCAAAAAAACAGCAATGTTCTTCACTAACATACCTGCTGTTACCAAACTTAATGGTATCTTTCTCGAAAAGCTCATAGTATCACTCTGGTTCAATAAGCTTTTCCTGAAAAAGCACAAAAAAAGTTCATTACAAATGTTTAATCTTAAACAATGATAAAGAAACAATCAACAAAGAATACAAATTCGGCACTCACATTGATGTATGTTTTATTGGTACTGCCAAGATCTATAATGTACGGCCTACAAGGTGACATTAAGAGAAATTACCTTTCACACCGTAAAGACAGAAAAGTTGCAAAATTTTCAAGCAAAGTTAAAGAGTAGACAGATTCTTAATATCATACCATCTGGTTTCTCCTTTTCCATTTCCCTGAAACACACACACATACATTCAGGGTTACATAGATATTAACCTAAAACTCTTCTTCCATTCGATCCATGGTCATAAAATTTATTATTCAAGAAGAGAATTACACGTCAGATATCTATGCACACAAATTAAGAGTTGTAAGCAAATAGAAAAAGAAACTAAATGATAAATCTGTGTATACATAGTCACTATACTGCAATACAATGTTCAATGATGCAAACTAAAATAGATACCAGAAACCACTCACAGAAGTATCTGATCATTAAACATTGCATAGTTATATTCATTTCAGTTAAGTAGACAAGTTTTTAATCAGTATCATGCAATAATTTGGCTACTATTGGTGATAATACTACTATCTAGATACTCAATCATCAAGGACGACAGTATTCAAGTGTTCATGGCTAGAGCAATATACAATCTGTAGCATCTCTTTAATTACACTACCACAACATGCTTTACTGCATGTTTTATGCACCAGAAAAAAATTGACATTGAAAAGACAGTTTAAGTGAAAATCATCTTAGAAACAAATGGACTATTAATTTGACAGATGGAGTATGTTCAAACACAATTAGCCTTAGGAATGAGAAACGAAAAGGTGAAAAAGACTCACCGTTCAGTGGTTCACCATCCTTAAATACATAGAGTCTCCATCTTTGGGTGGGTTTTCTAGCTTCGGATGGCTCACTGAAGAGGAGTGTGATACCTGCAAAGGGTTCAAAACAAATCAGGGACGCATGCCTGTGATAAAATTTAATGTGATAAACCTCTTTCTAACTACAATTCTACATGCCTAGGAGAAAGTGCGGGATTTGCAGCCAATAGAATATTCACTGATAGCAGATGTTATAAATTGAGTGTTTTAGTCTCAATAGCCTTTAGCTGTTGACCTACCATATGACAGGCACAAAAATGCATATAAAGTTGACGAAAATTTAACATGAAAAAGCAATGCTGACAACTGGAATGCCCAGATTGAAACATCACCTCTGTATCTGCTGGTTTCTTCGGCAAGTTTCCCTGATAGCTCAAAAGATGGTTCTTCCTGCAAGATATAACAAAGTTAGATCAGAACATGAATGAGGGAAGAGAGCACAAAATGACATTGGAAAATTTAAAATCAATAGATGCTTGATATGATACATATTTCTTCGCTGCTAGAGCTTCTTCAGCTGCTCTCATTCTAGCAATGGAATCTTCTTCATCATTGGGTTCCTTGCCTCCTCCTCTTGCATTAGATCCCTCATCATGCCTTGAGAGAGGAGCTCTTTCGGGTCTATAAATCAGCGAGCAAGATCAAAACCAATAATGTTTGCGCAAGACAAGTGCAGAGATCAGAATGCAAAGATAGGATACTTGGATTCTGATAGACTGATGGTGCACCTTGGCGTTTATGAGGAAGAAGCGACGATCAGAGAGGAGGCGAGCTCTAGCCTTGGAGAAGAAGAAGGACGTTGAAAGTGGCTAAAGTAAAGAAGAAGTGAAGTGTAGACTCTTGTTCTGTGAGAGGGTTTTATTATTGTAATGCCTCGTCGTTTTTCCCATTAGGGTTGATTATCTTATAAAGATCAAACATTAAATCCTCCTCTTTCCTGTTCGAGTTATCAAATATTATATTGGTAAGGTTTAGGTCTTATCAAACGGTGTTTTTCACTGAGAGTTGTTTCGAGAGAGAAAAAATGACGAACGCTCACACCGTTAGCGACACCAATCCCAGATCTGCGTCGATTGAACACGAGACAAGCGTACCCGAGACGCCGGTTCGAGCTCTAACTACAAATCAACGCCTGGACAAGCAGGATAAGGAGATGCTTTGGGTCCTTCAAGCGATGGTTGACAAGATGAGGAAGATAGATTACCTGATGACCGGAGCTTCGCCGATAGGGTTCACAAGACCTATCTCCATCACTCCAACACAAGCCGCTCCCTTTACGCCTGAACAACACTTCGATCGAACCCGAGGGGAAGAGATCTTACCCCAACCCAACGAAGAGCTCATGGTGAGACCCACAGATGGCTTTGCGCTTCCAATGGCGTGTGAGCTAAGGGTGGAGCTACCTCAGGCTCCAATGGAGGTTTCGTCTAAGCAAGTCGACCTACCGTTATATGAAGGGAACAACCCGGAAGATTGGCTCTTTCGGCTGGAGAAATATTTTACCATGAACGGGACCGCCGATGCTGAGAAGCTCGACCATGCTATCACGTGTCTCAGTGGTGCAGCAGTGACATGGTGGCGAGGAGCTCAAAAGAGAGAGCACATCGTATCCTGGAAGGACTTCACGGAGAAGTTCAAAGTGAGGTTTAAGTAGAGTCGCAGCTGTTCATCAGTGGACCACCTGTTCTGTATCTTCCAGAAGGGAAGTGTGGAGGAGTATCGAAGGAGGTTTGAAGCCTTAGCTGTTGAGTTGCCACATGTGCCGGACGATGTGCTTGAATCTGCATTCTTACGGGGGTTAAGGAAGAGCCTTTGAGACCAAGTGGTAAGATGCCGACCAGTGAACATGGCAGTGATTGTGGATATTGCAAAGCTGATTGAATCACAGGAAGGAGATCAAGTCAGCTACTTAAAGCGGAACAAACAAAGGCCATAAAACGCCTATGTTACTACCCCGATAAATCGCAGTACGGTGATCACTTATGCCAAGGAGAACAAGAAACCGGTTACTGGAAGATCCTTGCAGGGGTCCTAACCCGTATAAGTTTTGTGGGGAACCTCGGTTTCACAGCCATCGCTGTAAGCAGAAGATCAAGTGTATGGAGCTGGAAGACGAGGAAGCATCCATTCACGAGGGGGCAGAGGAACAGAATGAGCCAGAAACGGGAGACCAAGAGGAAGAGCCACAGGAGTTATTGACTGTCTCTACAATCCATGGTATGGTTGACTACCGTGAACTCAATGCGGATGAAGGGCAAGATCAAGGATCGTGAAGTGATAGTCCTCATAGACTCATGAGCTACGAGTAACTTCATTTCAGAGAAGCTTGTACATGAACTGAACCTGACTCAAACAGATTCGCGTGGGTTTGGAGTTCGAGTGGGAGGCGGTGAGATAATTAATGGCAAAGGTTGATGCTTGGGCTTATTACTCGATATCTAAGGAGTAGAACTAGTAGAGGAGTTCTTGTGCTTCGATTTGGGAAACACGGATGTAGTGCTGGGGTATACGTGGTTGGCTTCCTTGGGGGATACTCGTATCAACTGGTTGCGTAGCACGTTGAGTTGGAGAATCAGGGGACTATGGGTTACCATCATAGGGGATCCCAATCTCAGTCGAGAGCAGATTTCATTCCAGTCTATGGAGAAGGTCCTCTAGCATAATGGTGAGACGTACTTGTTGGAACTCACCACCTTATTCGCTAGCGCAAGTCCACCACAGGATCAAGAGCGTTCTCAGGAGCAGCAAGAGGTCTTCAAGAAGTACACGAGAGTGTTCAACATGCCAAAAGGGCTGCCACCAGTGCGTATGAGGGAGCACGCGATCAAACTTCAGGAAGGAGTATGGCCTATCAACATAAGACCTTACCATTACTCATTTATCCAAAAGAATGAGATTGAGAAGCTGGTGAAGGAAATGCTTGAAGCCCGAGTTATACAGACAAGCATTAGTCCTTATTCAAGTCCGGTATTGCTGGTTGAGAAGAAGGATGGAGGATGGCGGTTTTGCGTGGATTACAGAGCGCTCAACAAGGTCACTATTCCAGATAGGTATTCCATTCCCATCATAGAGAAGCTGTTGGATGAACTCAACGGTGCAACAGTTTTCTCGAAGCTGGATCTAAAATCAGGATACCATCAGATTCGTATGAAGAGCAGTGACATCGAGAAGACTGCCTTCAAGACTCATCAAGGGCACTACGAGTTTTTGGTGATGCCTTTTGGTCTCACTAACGCTCCATCAACCTTTCAGAGTGTTTTGAACGATGTATTCTGGCCATACCTCAGAAGGTTTGTATTAGTGTTCTTTGACGATATTCTGGTGTATAGTGTCGACCTCACTGCACACCTGAAGCACCTCGAGATATTGTTGGAGCTTATGCAACAGCACCATTTCTATGCCAATGCCAAGAAATGTTCTTTTGGGAACACAGAAGTGGCATATCTCGGACACCGGATCTCAGGCGAAGAGGTAGGAGCTGATCCAGAGAAAATTGAAGCAATGATGGCTTGGCCAAAACCAAGGTCAGTGACGGAGCTGCGCAGATTCCTAGGACTCACGCGATACTACCGGAGGTTCGTGAGGAATTATGGCATCATGGCCCGGCCGTTGACAGAGCTACTCAAAAAAGAAGGGTTCAAGTGGTCTCCTGCTGCAGATGAAGCCTTCAACAAGCTCAAAACCGCGGTGACTTCATTGCCTGTACTGGTATAACCAGACTTTTCTCAACCTTTTACCATCAAAACCGATGCTTCGGGTGCAGGGATAGGAGCTGTGCTCTCGCAATGGAGAAGGCCGATTGCCTTCCTTAGCCAAGATTTCTCGGCCCAAGGAAGAGTTCAATCTGTCTATGAGAGGGAGTTACTTGTGATTGTGAAAGGAGTGACCAAGTTGAAACACTACCTTACGTGAAAAGAATTCATCATCAAGACGGATCATCGAAGCTTGAAGCACTTGTTGGATCAAAAGGCAGTGTCATCAGTTCAGCAACGTTGGGCCGCCAAGTTAATAGGTTTAAACTACAAAATCGAGTATAAACCAGGAGTTGAGAATCGGGTGGCGGATGCTCTGTCAAGAAGACCTCACATAGTGGAGCTCAAACACTTCACTTTTACGACTCCTCTAACCTTAGACAAAAAGGAGTTGGCAGAACAAGTAAATGTTGATTCTGAGTTGGGAGAGCTGGTGAGAAGAGTTAGGAGAGGGGAGAAGGATCACTCAAAGTACAGTGTTTACAAGGGACTTATGTACAAGCAAGGATGCTTACTGTTGCCTGCGGGTTCCTCCCTTATTCCCCAGCTGCTGCAGCAGTTCCATTCGAGTGAAACAGGGGGTCATGAAGGCGCTTTAAAAACGTACAAGAGACTGAGACAAGAAGTCTCCTGGAGAGGAATGCGCAAAGATGTGGAAGAGTACATTCGTCGTTGCCAAATCTGTCAAGAAAAAAAGTATGCGACACTCTCCCCTACAGACCTGCTATCTCCACTGCCCATTCCGAAGCAGATTTGGTCTAACATCAGTCTCGACTTTGTGGAAGGTTTGCCTCTCTCTAAGGGTTTCAGTGTTATACTCGTTATGGTGGATTGCAAGAGTAAATACGGACACTTCATTGCACTTAAGCACCCATTCACTGCGAAAGTCGTAGCAGAAGCCTTCGTACGTGAAGTAGTGAAGCTTCATGGCTTCCCGGAGACTTTGGTATCTGATCGTGACAAGGTCTTCTTGTGCAATTTTTTGTCAGAGTTGTTCAAACTCCAGGGATTCGCATTGCATAAGAGCACGGCTTACCACCCTCAAACAGATGGTCAAACCGAGGTGGTAAACCGCTGTCTCGCGACTTACCTGAGATGCTTTGCAGGGAGGAAACCGACGACGTGGGTGCAATGGCTGCTATTGGCAGAATATTGGTATAACACGTCCTACCATTCTGCAAGTAAGTGTACCCCTTTCTCTCTTGTGTATTGAAGAAAACCTCCTCGTCTACTTCATTATGGGGATACTCCTACGGCTAATGCTCAGGTGGAGGAGCTGCTGAAGGATAAAGACAGTCTGTTAGTGGAGTTGAGGGAAAACCTTGAAATGGTGCAATTAAGGATGGTTAAGGGGGCAAACAAACACGACGGGATGTGGAATTTGCTGTGGGAGAGTTGGTGTATTTGAAGCTCAGACCGTATAGGCAACAATCGGTGGCTAAGCGCAGAAACGAGAAGCTGGCTCCACGGTTCTTCAGGCCATATAGGGTGATAGAGAGGATTGGAAGAGTTGCATACAAACTGGAATTGCCATCACATAATGTCATTAATCCGGTGTTCCATGTCTTGCAACTGAAAAGAGCCATCGCTGCATCTCAACAATCGCAGGACATCCCTGCATTCCTGAGTCCACCGCTAGAGTGGAACACAGAGCCAGAAGAGTTACTCGATGCTTGCCACTCAAACTGAAACAACAAAACTGAGGTACTGGTTATGTGGCGGGGATTGCCAGAATTTGAATGCACTTGGGAGTCTCTTGGCATTTATGATGAAGA